TATAATGAAAGTGGACAGAAAGGAATTTGTGTTGCCAAGTATATTTCTCTAATAAAAGTCTGTTTTTATCGAAGTGACCTGTGTAATCATGCAGAAGAATGGAGCGGGACTGCACACGGCAAGTTCCTGCTTCTGGGACAGCTCTACTGATGGTACGGTTTTCATTCCTTTAGTGAAGGCTTGTCACGGGCATTTCCCTGAAGGCTCTGCGGTGCCTGGACCCTGCCGAGATCTAGATTATTCAAAGCGTTGTTTTATGAAATATGTGCTTGGATGTTTCCTTTGAATGCATGTCTATTAGAGTCACCTTTTAAAACATTTTCTAGAAGAGAGACTGGCCAGCATTCTTTTTTGGCCACAAAGAGTTAAGTACACGATCGTGAGAACTCGGAAGGCCCCCGTTCTTCCCAGTTTTCTGTCCTAACCCGCCTCCTTCCTCCCGCAGGGAGCTGCACTGTGCGATGGGAGAACAAGACCATGTACTGCATTGTCAGCGCCTTCGGACTGTCCATTTGACCGCCTTGTCCAGCCTGTGATCTTTCTCCTTTTGTCCCCACATTTCTCTTCCATCTTCTAACCACCAGCCATCTAGTCAGTGATCACCTGTCTCACTCTCTTTAAGTGTGTTTTTGTGGCGCTCTCAAAATGTAGAGAAAAAAACCAAATAACCACACTTCTGTGACCTGCACACCCTAAGTCAGAGGAATCATCACCGAAGGTAGTCAGGAGCCTGTCCTGCCACTTGTCTTAACTTTGAATGTTTCTTTTCAAAGGTGCTAAAAGCCGAAATCTGCTAGTGTGAAACTTTCTCTACTCTCTGAAGTGATTCAAATACACTAATTTTCCATACTTTATACTTTTGTTAGAATAATAAATTATTCCAATTTAAAGTGTGTGTTTTCTTCATAGTCTAAATAGTATCACAGATGAATTCTCCGTATTTAGTTAGTGGCTTTAGAATCTATAAAACTGTAAAAAACAGAAGTTGCAGTTCAGCTCTGGTCCTCTCCAGTACAGCGATTTGCTGATTCACCCGTGGGACCAAGATCTTGACTGCTTTGCTGTGTTCTGGTTGGAATTCTACCCTTGGGCATCACATCCTTCCCTCAAGGGCTTCTCTCCTGGAGCTTAAGGGGTGGCAAGTGGGCAAGCTGGTCTTTTCTGATAGCTGGAGAGCTCTGACTCACACTGTCGGCCCAAATCTGCAACGCTACAGCCTCTACTCCTGTGTTCTCTTCTTTTTCAGTAGCAAACACAACAGAAATGTTTTCGTACCTTACGGCTTACACAGTGCTTTCACAATTATTCATTTTGTGTCCACAACAGTTAGACCATTATTTATGAATCAGAAAAGGTGTCTGGAGGTTTTCTGACCGATTTAAAGTCATATCCAAGTAAGTGGGGAGGTGGGCCCCAAACCCGGTGAAGCTCACCTTCGGGGCTTGTGCCTGGGCCACGTTAACATGGCAATAAAGACAGACACACCTCCACGTCCACCTGCTGAAATGAAAAAACCCTGCTCTTGTCCCTAAAGCACCAATGCCTGAATGATCAAGTTAACTCCACATGCAAAGAGCAAACAAATCAATGTACATAAATAAGGATCAAATATTAAAAATTTATTAACATCTACCAGAAAGGTAGTCTCTTAGTAAAAGGTGAAAGATTTATACGCTCTGAAGAGAAACCAGAGTATAGAAAGGTAGTCTCTTAATGAAGCCATTCCCGAAGTGTAAATTTGCCATAAATAAACATTTATTCACTTTGATTGACTAAAATGATCATTCTGTGATCAAGTACTACCGTGCTCACTGACACAGTTCCAAGGTCTAATACATAATAGCTTTATCTTCCCTTTCGAGCTTAAGGTTTAGAGTTGTTTTATTTTACAGATATTTACAGTCTCTTTGTAAAAAGGCAGTTTTCAGTAGCAGAAAATCCTGTGTTTCACAGTCTGGTATTACAGTTCCCAGTATACCTAAAACATGTCAAATCAAGATAAACAGGGTAACAAGATGTCACAGACTAAAGCAACTTCCCTTTGGCCTGCGGAAAAGATTTGTACCTTTGTTTTTCAAAAGTCTAACCTCTAAGGCAACTGGTTTTTAAAACCCTCAAAATACACAAATGTACTTAAGTGTTCTAAGTCTAGTCTTCACTAGATGTCCCTTTTAATCATCCCTTCAATGAGCCTCTGTGTTTTTCCCTGAAAAGGATTCCAGGAAATAAGTTACTGACCACATTATAATCTACTGAACCTAACTGTACCTTCAGTAAATAGCTCATGGAATTCTTGAGGCTGGTGATGTCTGTCTTGTAACCTGACCATTTAATGGGTTGGGTTTACATAATGTATCTAAACCTTTATTGCAATCTGTAATTATGTACAGGAACAATCTTACAAACCTTGAATATATTTTATATATCCTCTTCTTTAGCCTTTCAAATGGGGCTTAAGAGAGAGAAAACTGCATCACTGCACTGCTTTAATGATTTAATAATAAATCAAGCAGACCTTTATCCACATGGATAACGAAGCTCTCCCTAGGGAAACTGAAATGGCTATGGTCATCTTCCAGGTTCCCCTAGACTGGACCAGTATAAAAAATTATCCCAAAGATGATGTTATTCAAGCCGTTACCATGGAAGAACTAAAGTCAGCCCTTTATAATTTAAGTTTGCAAAACTTTGATACCCTCCCAAGACCAAAAAATAATCATAGTAATTTTCTTGCTACTGTCTAAAGTTTCTGGCAGACTTTAGTGTTTTAACCTAATACCTATGGCACATATAATACACGCTAAATGCTATACATTTTAAGCAAATTTTTACAGGTAAGATGTAATATGTTGACATATATGATACCAGAGAAGAGAAACTGAAAATGCATGACTTAATAAAGAACTATTTCCCGCTTAAGTACTTTCTTTTGTAACTTTTCCTCGTTTCCAACTTAGTTACAAAAAGTAAATAAATACTCCCATATTTTTCATTTCACTGATTTGATGCCAATAAGAATCAAAGGATGAAGATATCAGTCATCAGTTAACAATTACACTATAGGATGAGGATAAGTTTTAAAATGTACCTAATGTGTACAGCTAAATGCCTCAAATACTATACGTTTACTGATAAATAACAGCATTCCAAATTATGGACAATTTTATAATGATTAAAACTTGTAAACTATATCATACTAGGATACATTAATCAGTACAAGTAAGTTTTCATCAATTTACATAAAATTACTTAGTCTTAATAGAAGTTGTAAAATTTGCTAACAGAAAATTTCTTCAATACCTCTGAATACACAGAATCCAAAAAAATTAATCACATCATTGCAGCAAATGTAAAAACCATGTAAACTTGAATTACCCTTGCAATAATACAACTGTTTTAATTCAGACTTTCTTATTTACAAGGTTTTAAAAACAAATATAAATGGAATCCATATTAAAGGTGCATTATCATTAAAGTTTAAATTAAAAAGAAAGATGAAGTCATAATGAATAGTCTCTCATGAACCTCTCTAAGGTCCCAGCACTACCTGAAGTGGAATATAACTTTTAGCTCTGAATGGTAATTGGAGAGTTAATGTATACATGAAGAAAGTGCGGGGGCTGTTTGCAGAGCAGAACAATCGCGTCCCATACCTCTGTGTCTGCCGAGATGGCATCAATCAGGATGTCTGCAATGATCACAGGTAAACCATTCAAGAGAGAGATTAGTATGCATGCCAAATGAAAAGCAAAGGAGATATCTCTACCTCCTATAATTAGTCTTTGACAAAAAGGAACTGGAAATCTCCAGGGCCTTCTACGATGCCACAGATACAGCAGCTCCAGACGGCTCTTACACAGAGCAATCCATCTGTTTACCTGGCGACCACGCGAGACACACGGGGCCGGAATGATTCCCAACAAGTTACCTTCTCCCCAAAGATGTTCCTCCGTAAGCCATCTAAAATGTTTTACCTTCTTTCGTCTAGTTTCCAGGTGTGAAGCTGAAGAACTTTCTGGCAATAACGAATCTGTAGTAGAGTATACCAATCACTCGTTTAACTTTTATTAAAAAAAACAAAACAAAACAAACAGAGCTCTACAAGGTATCATCTTGAACAGAGTTGCAGAAACTCCTCCTTACTGGAATTGTAATGGATACCCTCCTCTCCATGAATATGAATGATGTCTCCATGCACAGGGACATCATTCATATTCATGATGTAACGCTCACACGCATTACTCACGTGTGCACACAGGCCCTTAGAAAACTCTGGCAACAAGACCCTTCCCATGGGAGCTGACAACCTGTCAATCATCTTACCCTTTCCTTACGAGCCTTATCAAACGCTCCTCAGAACTCCAAGACACCAGCTCTGCTTTGGTGGCAGTGAAGGGCTAGGACCTGCCCACCCTCCTCCCTTTCCCCAAAGAGCCATTACATACGTACACATTTCACACAGCAACCGACACAAGTTAACCATTGCTTGAGATGCGTGATCATCCAGAGCACAGGCCACTCGGTGGGGAAGGACTGCCCTCGTGGGGCAGCCACAGAAATAGGCTTCCCTTTGAGTTTAAAGGGTCAAAAGTTGGTACCACGGGGCAGGGAAGAAAGGAAGGGAGCAGAGGAACACCCCCATGCTGTGGACCTTATTCCTAAGGGCTTTCCAGGAACTTGAAATTAGTAAATTTTCTTTTTAAGTACATAATTCTCTCTACTAAAAACAGCAGTAATTTCTTTCTCACCACTGAAAACAGCCACCTCTCGTATGAAATCTCTGAAAAATGATCCAGCTGTTTAAACTTTTCGGCAGAGCTCTCTTCCCAAATAACTGCAGTCAGTCTAACAGTAAATTTGGCCCAAATGTTTAAATTTGTCCTCAGTTTTGGTTTTCCTTTCAAAAATATGTAAACAAATAAGGATCAGGAAATCTCTGCTTGTAAGAGAGGTCTGCGTTCAGGCAGGTACCGGGCAGGCCAGGAAGCAGGCACGGGGGCTCAGTCACTCTCAGACCCCTCCTTGTACTGGGCCCGGATGGCCTGGCCGTTCTGCAGGGGCATCTCTTCATAGTCGCTCCTGTTACAAGAGAGACCTCTGATACCACTCGGCTTTTGGCTTTTGACAGCACTGGGTTTATTCTCCTCTTCACACTGACCCGCCGTCCCAACAAGAGCCCGTTTCCTAGCCTCGCTCTCTCCACTTCTGTCACCAGCTGATTCCTCCCACCCCCTCCGGCCCCACCCATCACCAGGGTGTCTGTTCTTCCAGAAAGAACTGCTCTTCCTGTGGTCACCACTCACTCAGGTGTCCAGCAGGAAGGGACACTACCCACCTAAGCCTGAGTAACATGACAACAGAAAACCAGGGGATCACATGACTCTCCCAGGTGAAAGAGACCGATGATACCTCTGAAATCGTCTGAGAATGGTCACCAGCCTCTCCGGTAAACACAGGAAAGCAGGCTGAGCGCTCGCCCCAGGGCAGCCTTCGGTGGAGATGGGGACTTACCCGTATATCACATCGTCGTCCGAGTCGTTGAGCATGGAGAAGGCGGGATTGTCCTTCAGCTGGGACTCTGAAAACCAACAAGCATTTTAACGTCACTAGCCCAGAGAGGCAGGATGCTGTTCTAGAAGAAGGGTGGGAGTCAGAAAGGGCTGGATTCCAATCCCCGCTTCCCCGTTCACGGCCTGCGTGAGCCGGACAGGTCGTTCTGTCCCCAGGGGGGCGCCGCGGGAAGACTGAGTGGGAGCCTGGGGGGAAGGGCCGCCCGGAGCAGCCGGCAGACGGGCTCCCTGCACCCCAGGGTCCCACAGGTCCTCACTGGGAGCAGGGCTGGGAGACCTGGTCTGCCCGCCGCGCCCGCCCGCCCCGGGCCTGCGCACGGCTGCTGGTCCACAGCCCGTCAGCCGTCACCTCCGCCCAGACCCTCTGTGCACGTGCTGAGAGCCCCTCCACGGGCAGCCAGGTGGCCCTTACGCCCCCGGCCCCAGGGAGTTCTCACCCTCCTCACCCCGGGGCAAGAGGGCTGTTTTGGTTTGGTTCTTTTGGGAGGTGGGGCGGGGTGTACGTCTAGCTTTCTTTTGAAGGTCACGGCACTCATTTCCAACAGACTTTATTTCGCGGGGCTGACGGACACGCTCGTGTCAGGACCCACGGACACACTCCGTTCCTGCATCTTGGGCCGTAAGGACACAGCACCTGCTGGGCTCCCCCTGAGGCTCAGGGCTCACCATCCGAGCCCGCCTGGTCTCTCCACTAAAGAGGGAGGCGGGGATGCGGGGCCGGAGCTGCTGCCCAAGCTCCCTGGTCAGCGACCCTGGCCGGTGGCTTACCGTACAGGGCGTTCTTCGAGGGCGAATACACAAAGGCCAAAGTGTAGAGGTAAAAGTTCAACAGGCCGTAGAAAGATAAGAATTCAGCTGGTGACACTGGTCAAGGGAAGCAGCAGACCTGGGACACCGTCTATTTGGACACGTCAGCCGGCCCCTCCCCCAACCGTCAGTGACTGCTAAGCAGCAGCCAGGACCCTGGGGGCCACACCCAGACATCGGGCACCACAGGGCAGGCCCGTGGCCAGAGGTTACAATGCCTTTCAGGGGCACCTGGAAACCACAGGTGAGCCGTGCCCTCTCCTGTCCATGGAAGCCTCTGGAGGTGGCAGGACCTGATGAGAGCAAGTCGCAGGCAAAGGGCAGGAAGGAGAGTCAAGAATAAAAGGAAGAACTGGATCCAGGCTCTCAAGCTAGTCCTTTTTAATCTTTTCTGGATTACACACCCCTCTGAGAATCTGATCAAAGCTTTGTGTGAAATTCAGTCACGAAAACGTGAAAAATCATGCATTGATTCTAAGGATGTAAGTAAGAGAAGAGGCCCCACGGAAAGAACCCAAGATGTGAGGGATGAACCCCAAGGTTTCCCCTGATGGATGCCATCACTGAAAGCGGGAGTGGGAGGCGCACACTTGACCCGATTGTGCATCCAAAAGAGGAGCCTACTGCCAAGGCAATGGGGCCTCAGGGAATCGAAGGAGGTCCCGCTGTTCACAAGCCCTCCCCGGAGACGCAGGTGCAAATGCAGCTGGACACATCTGGGAGTTGGTAAGGGATGCCATCTGGGGAGAGAGGACCCTCAAATCAGGCCTTGGCCTCTCCCCAGTGCCCTGCAGGGAGAGGTGGGCAGCCCTGGCCTGACCCGAGGCCTGGATGGTGGGTGGACCCGCGGCAGTCCCTGCCCCACAGACAGGAGAGCGGGGCGTGGAGGGCGGGGGCAGGCGCTGGGGCCCCGGGGCCTCTCACTCACACGGACAGGGGTGAGGCCCCCAGGTCATGCCTCTTCCTGACTTTCACGGGCCTGCAACGCTGCCCACCCCACCAGGGTGTGTGCCTGACGCCCGACGTCCTCCCACGAAAGGATATAATTCTGGTAGTGAGTTGACAGTTCAGCTACAAAGTTGTCTTGTAACACTTGTGCTCCGAACCTTAAATAAAGGATGACGATGCTGAAAGAGAAGTGGGATGGACAGTACATAAAAACCTACCAAGAAACAGCACTGGCTGCATATAACTTGCCACATTCACTGCCTAGTCATGATTTTATCTGCATGGAGACTCGTTCACATGCACACAGCCCCTCCACTGGGCTCCTGGGCTCAGATCCAGGGACAAGCTCAGCCGATGCCGACACAGATCTCGTTAACAGCCTCGAGTCCAGGTCCCCGGGCACGTGCTCCCCCTCTTCTCTTACTCAGTCTGCACCTTCTGGACCATCTCCTCCAACAGACCACCAGCCCCCGGGGGACGGTCTGCCATCCTGTTCTCTTCCCCCCGCCGGGCAGTGGTTCACATACCTGTCCGACACCTGCCCACCAATGCACGTGCCGACAGAGGGTTCTGGTACTGGGGAGCCCACTTCCCCTCCCTGGGGTCCAGTCTCCACTCCAGCCAGACAGACTGTTTAATAAAATGTGAACCAGGTCCCTTCACCCCCTGGCTTAAAACCTTGCGAAGGGTTCCCGCCACTGAGAACGGAACCGAGACTCCTCACCATGGCCTGCGAGGCGACCTGACCTCCCGGTGGCCACCCTCCCTCACGTCCTCACGCCCTGTGACGCCGCTGTCCCTGAGCCCAGGCTTCAGGGCCCTACTTCAGGCCCCAGGCCCCCTGCTCAGAGAGCTGTCCCCCACGAGCCTCAGGAAAGCAGCCATGGCCCTGCTGCCATCGTCCATCCCTCTGCTTTCATTACAGCGTTTAGGCTATTTTTAAATTTTTTATCACTGCCCTCCCCCACTGGACTATAAACGCCATGACAGGGAGGAACCTGTCTGCCCAGTTACCAGTGGAGGCATTTCCTGGGTATCTGCTGCACGTATGAATCCCCTTGAAACTCAGACGAAGGAAGATCCCAAAAGCATAACAACTTCTAGACAGACGTACAGAGGTCACCACACGGAGACAGCAGCTCCCAGCCCGTGGACTGGGGCAGCCTGAGGGCGAGGCTGTGTGAGGGGATGTGAGGGCTGCTGATGTGTAAAAGGAGGTGAGGGTGTGCATGTGAGGCTGCACCAAGGGCTGCAGAGACTGAATAACAACACGTGAACCTCTGTTTTCAGGTGAATTTAGATGCTGAATAAAAGCAAGCTCGTTTTGAAGACCAGGCCAAGTTCACATGCTTTGGTGAGGGATGCAAACAACTCCTGCAGGGGCGGGTGAATGAACCCAGATGCCTCCAGGATCCCCCATCCAACAAGGCTGGGCCCCCAGCGCAGTGGTGGAAAGCCAGCCACTCGGAGTCCGGAATGGCTCTCACCAGGGAAAGGGCTTGACAGCCACTGATTTGCCATCCAAACAACCGAGAAAGAAATGCAGATAACTAGATGTCATTCCCCTTCGGGATTCTGATTTTAGGGGAAAGCGACAAACCAAAAACAAGCAAGAGATTATCTGGAATTCATTCAAAGACCCGGCTTTCTGTGCTCCCTCAGGCCGGCCCGCGGACCCAGGAGAGTCCTCGGCACCTCCTCTGCTGCACGGCATCTCCTGCCCGCTTCCCTCGGGCAGCAGCGTGTGTGCTTCAATGATGTCCACTTACAGTCCTGTCCTTGGGGCAGCAAAAGGACCCCAGGTGCCAAGCATGTCACCCAGGATTCTAATTCTCTGACTTGTCTCTACTGCGTCTGCTGCCTTACAGGGCACATGTCAGAGCAAGGGGGGAACCCGAGCAGCGCTGGGCCGCGGGCTTCGCCATGTCTTCTCTCCCCTGGCGCGAACAACAGAACACGCTCCCTCAGCCACCACACGCTCAGGGCCCTGCCGGGGGAGGAGGCCTCACACCCGTGGATACAGCTGGCTAGAAGCACCCTAAAATTAACCCCGTAAAACGGGAGAAAAGACATTCACGACAGTAAAATAAAAACTCACATTTTGCTTCTTTTAAGAAATAAAGTCTTCTTACCTAATGACAAGCACTGCAAAAGTCAATGCTGTCAAAAATTTCAACCTGAGATCTGAAAAAGAAGTAAATACTCCCATTAAATCACCAAATTGGAATTAAATGCCACTAATTAAATCCCAAAGATCTTAAAAATAAAGCCAAACCTCCTGAACAAAACCCTTCTTCCCTCTGGACTTTAAACCTGTCAGTACCTGAAGCTCAGGAGAAATGCTGTCTCATCACCCCCAAGGCCAGGAGGGTCTCCCAGGGAGGCGTGGCCACTATTATTTGCTTGTGACAGATTGGAGGAAAGGATCCTATGACATCAGGTGACTTGTCTCCATTCAAGGTCAAGGAAAACCACCCCTGCCACTTTGTAAGGTGCGATTCCAGAAGGATCCAGGCAGCTCCAATAGCCACACTGGCACCTGGGGCCCTAGCTGGCTTCCACCCCACAGGCCTCCCTCCAGCGTTGGCCCGAAGCACTGTCCAAATGGCCCAGAGTCACCCCTGCAGCCCTGGGCTCCCTGGGGCTGAAGGTGCTGCTCCAGCCCCTGGGTCTGCCCTCCGGGTCAGGCCATCGTTCCCCCCAGCCCATGCCAACGCAGGCAGCCCTGCACCAGGGGGGTCTGAGACCAGCGCTTACCTACATAAGGCATGTGACGCAGCTCGGAGCAGGCCCGCACGATCAGGAACAAAAGGTATAAGATGTACATGGCGGCCACCACCATGAAGAAAACCTTCATTCCCTGGAGCGAAACCAGACGGGCACTTGAATGACAACAGGGTCTCAGTGTTGCTTCTCCGTCCAATAACATAAGCAGGAAAGCCAGAGCTTTCTAAGTGGGACCCGGAGCCCTGAAGGCCACAGCCTAGAGCAGCACAAGAGCATGCTGCTGCCGCTCTGACTGTCCTCATCCCGGCTCAACCTCTCTGCGAGCGCAGGTGGCCAGCTCACCCCAGGAGGACACCCCGGCCCCTGCTCATCAGACGAGCAAATGCCTGCATGTCACACGGAAAGCTCCGAGCATGGGGCCTGGAACGTAGGAGGTGCTCAATAAACGGCAGCGGCTCCTACTTGTCTCTCCCCGGGATGAGGGCCTGGCTCCCTGCCCTGCTTAGGAAGACAGTGCTATGTGTCCAAGAAAGCATCCAGGCCTGGATCTCAATTTTTCTGGACCTTGGTTTTCTTTTCTGTGAAACGAGGGGTTGAACTAGATCACCTAGAAGACAATGGGTCTAAACCACACATGAACTTTCTATGGACCTTGCCACATAACCAGTTGGCAAGCTTGTAACAACAGCACAATTTAAGTTACAAAATTCAGCGACTTTTTAAGACAGCAGTTAAAAAAAAATTCCTCTAGCTTGATTAACAATCCTTACCTGAAAATTTCCTGTGTCAACACGATACTGGTACATTGGATCATGTAATTCATTAATTCTAGAAATACGATGTTATAAAAAAAAACATAGATTAATAACTAGTTTACTTTTCATTTTATACTTTCTCTCTCTTGGCTTTTTAAAAAACTTACTAACAGGGCTTCCCTGGTGGCGCAGTGGTTGAGAATCTGCCTGCTAATGCAGGGGACATGGGTTCGAGTCCTGGTCTAGGAGGATCCCACATGCCGCGGAGCAACTAGGCCCGTGAGCCACAACTACTGAGCCTGCGCGTCTGGAGCCTGTGCTCCACAACAAGAGAGGCCGCGAGAGTGAGAGGCCCGCGCACCGCGATGACGAGTGGCCCCCGCTTGCCACAACTAGAGAAAGCCCTCGCACCGAAACGAAGACCCAACACAGCAAAAATAAATTAATTAATTAATAAACTCCTACCCCCAACATCTTAAAAAGAAAAACTAAAACTTACTAACATAAACTACTTGCTGACCAACAGTAAAAAGATTTTTAAAAAGTAATCCTCAATTTATGAGAAATCCCAAATTACCTATTGAAAATACGCACGACGCTACTAAACTTACTGTCCACAGTCCTCAGTATTCTGAAGTATAGTATTTATCATTAAGAAAATCCCTAGACTAGTCCTCTTTCCATTTTAAGAGCTGTTTTCCAGGCACCTTTTCAACGGCATATATGGGCACCAGGAAATAGATGAGCACACAAAGAAAGCAACAGAAGTAAATATAAACGTCTATGAAGCGCATTTCAAAATGACACTGGGCCGCTGAGATGACAGGCGGGTGGGAAGAGGGAAGCGGAGACGTGTGCTGAGTCCTATCATTACTGTGCCAGGGGCCAACATCATACCACTGAGACGGGACTAGTTTCTGCAGAAAATCCTACTTGGGTGAATCAGGTTGTTACTACGTTAGGCTTCTGCGGTGGTGCCATTTTACAGACGGACAAAAATACTAAAGATCAACCCTGGGAGCTGGTATAAGGATGGGGAGGTTTAAAGACACAAGCCAAAGGAGAAACTTAAGACATCTGGGGACACTGGCAAACCAGGAGCCGACCTGAGCGTCATTCCTACAAATGAAGTCTCTGCCTCTCCGAAGGAGAAATCTGAAAAGACGTGGTCTTTTTCGTTTTCCACCTTAGACTAGAAGAATCGTGTCCGTCTCTACATGCCATTCAAGCAGAAATGAACCCTCAGTTTAAGTCACACTAACAAATCATGAAACACTGGGTGACAGATTCCCTTCTGGATGAGTTCACAAAACACAGTCAACTTTGGGTCTGTCCACCTTGTTAATTGCTTTCCAAGACTGAAGTTTCACACATAATAAAGTTACTCACGTCTGCCATATTCCGAGGGTAACACAGGCCAACCACAATAGTCCAACAATGAAGAATTTGGGCAAATAGAAAGTCAAGCACTTCCTTTCTCCCTTAAAAAAAAAAAAGGAATAGAGAAGTTAGTAATTCTAGCAAACTATTACCCCCTCACAGACCACAAGAGATCATAGATACTCCCATCATTTCCACACAGCACACACTCTTCTGTTGACTATGAGGCTGAAGACAGGTTCCCAAGGACAAGTTCACCCTAAGGTTATCACCAGAGTCTGGAACAGAAGGACTGAATCCCCCACTCCCTCCAGAAGCGCTGACGGCTCACCTGCACCCGGATCCCATGGTACACGCACAGCCAGAAGAGCAGCAGGGCGCACAGGAACACAGACTGGAAGAGGTCGTCCAGCATCCCCGGGAACCAGCTGTTCACCAGGAAGGAGAGGGGGAAGAACGGGTCTGCAAGGCAAAAGGCAGACAGGCCTGGGAAGGCAGACTTGCCAGCACCCGGCAGGGCACCCGGCCCCGTGCGAGGGCAGAACTCATGATCGCTTTCCTCCCGGCCAGAGCCATGGGGAAGCTAGCGAACTAATGGCTGTCTTGTTTTTCAAAACACCGAAAAGCCAAAGAACAGATTGCTCCAGGAATGAGTACTGAGTGCCGTCTGCTTGTGCCAGCCGCTCCTCCCCGCAGGCCTGGGAGTCCCGGCGCTGCAGCTCTGGAAGCAGATGCTTTCTGGAGCAGGGCACGAGAAGCAGACAGCACTGCTGCCACCCTCAGCCAAGTCCCAAGACGGTGTCTGCGGCCCTTCCAGGTTTTAACCTCCAGGCAGGGGGAAAGCTGCAGGCACCCGCCGCGTCCTGGAGCAAAATGTCCCTCGGGTCGCATGGGCGCTACCACCTGTTCCTTCAGGGGCCCCCAGGCCACCTCCAGGACGCCTTTCAGCTTTCAACGTTAAAGGGGAAAGCGCTGAAGTAAAAATGGCACCTACCGTTGTAAAGTAGCAGCAGAGGCAGGAGAATGGACATCCACTTCTGCTCGATGCCCCAGTCTCGCATGGAAAACTTCCGGAGGGAGTGAGCAAACAGGCACTGTGAACCAGACCAGGCCCCCAGTCACTGTCTTTGCCCACCCCGCTGAGCATCACCTTACATCTGTCTTCCTAAATCAAAGGTCTCAGTGCCAGCCAAGACCTGACGAGCCAACCCCTTGCTGAACCGACCCTGAGACCATCAGTGACAACTGGGAGAAGACGGTGAATTGCTGCAAAGGAGCCTCGATAAGACGGTCATGGCTGTTCTCACAGGGGCAGGAGGTGACGAGGAATATAATGGCCATAACACCCCTGGCCCCCCAGCCTCCTCCTGGGCAGGCTCTTTCTACCAGGCCGTCTCCCACTGAGCCGCAGGGAAGGACCTCCCCGGGCACAGGCCACAGGCTCCCAGAGGTGCGACTTTCACAGATGACACCAGCTTCTAGGGAGGCACGAGGGCTCCCAGAGGAAAAGCCAAGGAATGAGGCTTATATACAACCACGGTCAGACGATGTGCTTCTTTTCAAACACCTCCCTGAAGGGGCAGTGGCCCATGGGAGAGGTTTCTTTAAACTCTAAAACATCATACAATTTGTGATTTTTAAGCCTGGAGTTGTTTTGTTTTTTTCTGCAGTCTAACATAAGCCAATAATTTCCTAAGCAATTTGGACTTCCTGGACTGATGGACCATTTCCCCCAGTCTACCTGTCAGAATCAGGCCCATTTCTCTTGTTTGAGAACATAGGGCCCTGGGTACCAGTTCTCTGGGCCCCAGAGTACGGCAGCAGAATCCCAGGCAACAGAAATCCTTCAAGGAACAGCAAGGATTTCTGACCAAATATAAACAGCAGTTTTCCGCTTTCCTTTAGTGAGTTCACCAGGGGAGGCCCTCACCATCCCAGCTCTCAGGGTACTCTGTGGCCGTGTCCTGCCTTCCAGCCACACCCAGATCACCACCGTCTGGCACTTTCCTCACACGTCCCCTGTGAGCCTGGGTCCTTCTGTATACAGTTAGACTGCGAAGCAACAAGTTCCTTGGGTGGCAACTGGAGCGGCCACCACTGCTAAGGACGGACGTCCTAAACGTTACTCTCTCTGTGTCAGCACAGGGCAGGCAGCTGACGGCGGCAGGATACCACCCTCCAGGCACACTTCCTTTTCCTCCAATTTATGACTTCCCACCTTCACTGGCTGGGCCTCTGTGGGGACTGCCTGTACTCTGTGGGTTATCACCCCCCAAAGACACGGTGCACCAGTGGACAGAGACCTCGGATCCCAAATGAGCCGAAAGCCTGCACGTCCAAAGCCCCTCATCTGCACTCTCCTGAAAAAGCCCAAAGACTGTAAGGTCTGGTCCACTTTTCCAAATGTAAATGCCCAAGAACGTGCTGTATCGGCACTCAAAGAAGGTCATTCAAACCAGGCAGGATCCCTCCACACAGGTTAAATGGCACTTCTCACTACACACCGATGAGAATTCACTTACAAGTCAGTGACCTGTAATTACTGTGACACTACACAGTGCTTACTAAAGGTACCACAGCGTTCTTGCAGCACAGCACCCCAGCAAAAATACAGAATATTTAGTACCATCAGGTCGGCCCACTGGATGGAGTGTCTCAGAGTTCAGGTAAACCTCCCGCACTCTAATAACCATAATTTATGAACTAATTTTGCCCTTGTTTGGATTCTGACGTAATCTGTTAGGTGAATGGTACTTACAGTGACAATGAAGGTAAGCACCACAAAGACGAATCGGAACCAAATTTCCAAGTGGGAAAATGCAGGGTCGTAAGTCTTCCACTAAAATGGAAAGCAGGAAAACAATCTGAAAAAAATTCATCTAAAAGGAAGTACACCACGTTATTTATTTATTTTTATACGGTGTGCCCATACAATGGAATACTATTTATTTTTTAATGTCTTCTATTTATTTATTTATTTTTGGCTGTGCTGGGTCTTCACTGCTGCACGCGGGCTTTCTCTAGTTGCGGCGAGCGGGGGCTACTCTTCGTTGAGGTGCGCGGGCTTCTCATTGCGGTGGCTTCTCTTGCTGCGGAGCACGGGCTCTAGGAGCGTGGGCTTCAGTAGTCGTGGCTCACGGGCTGTAGAGTGCAGGCTCAGTAGTTGTGGCGCATGGGCTTAGTTGCTCCGCGGCATGTGGGTCTTCCTGGACCAGGGCTCGAACCCGGGCTCTAGGAGCGTGGGCTTCAGTAGTCGTGGCTCACGGGCTGTAGAGTGCAGGCTCAGTAGTTGTGGAGCATGGGCTTCGTTGCTCCGCGGCATGTGGGTCTTCCTGGACCAGGGCTCGAACCCCTGTCCCCTGCATTGGCAGGCGGATTCTTAACCACTGCACCACCAGGGAAGTCCCCACCACATTATTAATAATAGTTATTTCTAAATGTGAGACTACAGGTAGTTTAAAATGTTCTCTTACAGTTTCTTACATGTTCTAAAACTTTAACACTTAGTACATTTTATTTTTATATTAAAGAACACACACCTTGTACCAAGAGCTGAAAATAGTTTTAAATGGTGGCATACTAATGATGAATCTGGCAGATAAATTATTCTATGATTCTTTTAAATCTCATGTCAAAGATCAATGCTGTCAATCTCTTTATTAGAAAAAGCCATGCTTTCCATGAAAAGAAACAGATTTTTAAACGATGCAAAACCTAAGTATGATGTTCTAAAAAAGACTGAGTGAAACGTATAGATATGAATCTGAGACAAAAAAAAAATACTGTGGAATTACGGTTGTCAGTTCTTGTGCTGAGTAGTCTCACTCATATCAAGTGCATGGCTAACACAGCGAGGATGAGGCTCCACGTGCTGGCAGCAGGTGGAAGGCAGCCTTTCCCACCTTGGTTACCAGCCAGGTTCATCACCAGACCCCAGGACACGGCGCTGCACTGGGCTAGGGAGCCCCATCATTTTAATGCAGTGAATTAAAATCATCTGAGCAATTTAAAAATTGTAACAGATAGAGCAACAGATAGAGTTAAAGACAGCAGATTCACCTTATGTGCCTCAAACATTAAATGTATACACACACACACACAAAGACACTGGACATGAGGCAATGAAGGGCCATAACCTCTAGCTGATGGGGGACAGGTGCACCCTCTGGTCAAGCCCTGGGGGAACCCGAGCAGAGCCCAGTGGTCTCTGAGTCGCAAACACACCACTGTGAGTGCAGGGACACAGCTCACCGGCTGTGACTCACAGGACAGCACTAACAGAGGTACAGAGCAAGCTCCGGCCATCTGCCAAAGGTCGCCCTCCCCACGCCTTCACCTGAATACTGATCCGCGCGCGACAGTGAGCAAAGCACCCAAGGCCAGGGGAAAATCCCTAAAAGGATCACTAGCGTTCACTGAAGGCCAGTAACAGCAAGAAAAGCGCACAATCGGAGGATATTGTAGAGCACGCACTCCAAGCACTTTAGTCTCAGTGGTGGGGAAACATTAGCCTTAGACTCAATGCTGCTTTGGTCCCACCCAGCAAAGTTTAAAATCAAGGCCTGCAAAGTACAAACTGTTTCCAAGTAACATTACCACATCCTAGAACAGAGCTCAAGGATATTTATCAGAACACAAAACTCTAGCAATCAATAATGTCTGACATTGAATCAAAAATACCAGACGTGTAAAAAAAGCAAGAAAATATGAAACATGATGAGAAAAAACTAATCAATCAAAACTGACCCAGAGGGCTTCCCTGGTGGCGCAGTGGTTGAGAATCCACCTGCCGATGCAGGGGACACGGGTTCGAGCCCTGGTCCGGGAAGATCCCACACGCCGTGGAGCAGCTAAACCTGTGAGCCACAACGACCGAGCCTGCGCTCTAGAGCCTGCGAGCCACAGCGACTGAAGCCCAAGTGCCCTACAGCCCGTGCTCTGCAACCAGAGAAGCCACGGCAATGAGAAGCCTGCGCACCGCAGAAGAGTAGCCCCCGCTCGCCGCAACTAGAGAAAGCCTGCGCACAGCAACAAAGACCCAATGCAGCCAAAAATAAACAAATTTATTAAAAAAAAAAAACAGAACTGACCCAGAAATGGCAGGCGACAGAATTAGTAGATAAGGACATCAAGAAGCTAGAGGAGAGTTTGCATACGTGAAGCAGAGACGTGGAGGGTGATCAACAGCAGATTAGACATCCCAGAAGGTATAAACATGAAGACAGCGAAAGAATCCACTTAAAATGCAACAGAGAGGAAAATGAACAGAGCATCAGTAAGCTGTGGGACAACTTCAGGTGGCCTAGCAGATGTATATTTGGAGCCCTCAAATTTCTATTGGCGGGAAGAAGGCAGGAGGACAGAAAAAATTTTTGTAGAAATATCGGCCGAATTTTTCCCAAATTTGCTGAAAATTATAAACTCACAAATCCAGGGAGCTCATTGTACCCTAAGTACAAGAAATACGAAGAAAAGTATACCAAGGAACCCCACAATCAAACTGCTTAAATAAGTAAAAGAGAAAAATCCTAAAAGTGGCGGGAGGGGGCTGGAGGGGAGAACTATTACAGAGGACAAAGATAGGACGATAGATTTCTTGTCAAAAAATGCAAACCAGGGCTTCCCTGGTGGCGCAGTGGTTGGGACTCTGCCTGCCGATGCAGGGGACACGGGTTCAAGCCCTGGTCTGGGAGGGTCCCAAGTGCCGCGGAAGTGGCTGGGCCCGTGAGCCACAGCTACTGAGCCTGTGCGTCTGGAGCTTGTGCTCCGCAACGGGAGAGGCCGCGACAGTGAGAGGCCCACGCGCTGCGATGAAGAGTGGCCCCCGCTCGCCACAACTAGAGAAAGCCCTCGCACAGAAACGAAGACCCAACACAGCCAAAAATAAAATAAATAAATAAAAATTTAAAAAAAAATGCAAACCAGAAGACCAATATTTTCAAAGTATTGTAAATCAAAACCAAAATGCAATACCACTACATACCTATTAGAACAGCCAAAACTAAGACTGCCCTACCGAGTGTTGACGAGACGAGGATGTGAAGCAACTGGGACCCTCACACACCGCTGATGGGAATGTGAGACAATACAGCCACTTTGAACCCAGTCTGTCAACGTCCCAAACAGTTAAACAGACCCCTGACACATGACTCAGCATCCCATTCCTAGGTATTTACCCAAGGGAAGTGAAAGCACATGTCCATATAAAGGTTTGTACACAGAAGTTCACAGCAGTTTTATTTATAACAGCCCCAAACTGGAAACAATCCAAATATCCATGAGCAGGTGAGTGGATAAACTAACTGTGCTATATCCATACAGGGAGTGTCCCGCAGCAACACAAAGGAATGAACTACTGATACACCCAACATCATTCATCAGTCTCAAAGTTAATCATACTGAGTGCAAGAACCCAAACATATTGTATGATTCCATTTACATAAAATTCTAAAAAATACGAACGAATTTGTAATGCAAGCAGAACTATTAACAATTGATGTTAATGGGAAAGTGGAAATCATAGTAATTAAGATCATATGGGGCTTCCCTGGTGGCGCAGTGGTTGAGGGTCCGCCTGCCGATGCAGGGGACGCAGGTTCGTGCCCCGGTCCGGGAGGATCCCACATGCCGCAGAGCGGCTGGGCCCGTGAGCCATGGCCGCTGAGCCTGCGCGTCCGGAGCCTGTGCTCCACAACGGGAGAGGCCACAGCAGTGAGGCGCCCGCGTACCGCAAAAAAAAAAAAAAAGATCCTATGAATTGTGCAGTCAGAGATTCGGATTTACTTAATCTCATTAAACCTCAGATTTCTCCTCCATAAAATAGCTACTTTGAAGAATGATCATAACAATCATAACATTTAAATAAGAGGATGAATATAGAAAGTCTAGTGCAGTGCCCGGCAGAGAGCAAATACTCAGGAAATAAGAGCTGCTGTTATGAATCTCAAACGCTCCAGCTACTATGATTATGGCTACACTGTTGACATTTTACAACAGTATCACTTACAAAGCGATCACAGTAGCGATTATGAGCAAATGATGGGGGGAGTGTTGATGTGAACATCATATTCAAAAAGAAAAAAAGTATAACACATATCTTAGTTATAGATTTTAAGGCATGATCAAGAAGAGAAAAAAGAAGTGTTACCATCAAGAAAAGACTCACAAAATATGTTTAAAGTAACAGTGAAGAAAGTACGTATTTTTTTACCCTCAAGGGACTGTAACTCTTAAGAAAGAAAATAACCATGGACTCCCCAGAAGGAGGGGGGATTCAGTCTTAGGATTCTGTCAGAGGAGCACAAAATAATCAACTCGCTCACTTCAAAAATTAGCACTAGAAAACAATGCTTTACTCAATAAATAAACAGCTAAACCTAAAACATTCATTTTACAGGGTTGGCCGAAGAGTCTGTTTGGGTTTTTCCGTAACGTCCTACGGAGAAACCCGAACGAACTTTTTGGCCAGCCCAATAGTTCTAAAATGTGAGTTCATAGGGGGAAAGGAGGAGAAAGATGAGGAGTTGGGGTGAAGAAGAAAGACGTTAAACCCCGGCTTCCCCAGCTGGATCCTGGGCTGGGATGTGCCGCACGGTGGGTGCTCAATACATTGTGATGGTGGGGCCAGTCTTCCTTGCTCCTGTGGCCCTTCCCCTGCCCTTTCTGCTGTAGGGAAGCCACTGCCACACAGGAGCTCCCTCCAGGAGGCTGCCCTTGTCGGCCAGCTGCTGAGCAGAAGCACCTCTGTGTCCTGCCGCCGAGGCCAGAGCGGCCTCACAGCTCCATCTGGCGTTCACTGGTGCCAAGGGTTTGAAAAGTCCTTTTCCCTAGAGTGAGCCCGAGAAGAAGGCTTGAAGCTCAGAGGACGGGGGCCCCAGCCCCCCCACTACAGACAGCACAGACAGCAGCCCTCCAGTAGCTGTGGGTCCAGTGATGCTGGGGCCAGGAGGGCAATGGTCCACAGGGATCCTGTCAAGCAGTGGCCAGTGCCTGCGCCCTAACAGGAGAGCGGTCACTGAACGGACCCAAGTGTATATGGGTTTAAATATGTCTTAGTCAATATATTATGCATTTCCATTGCACCAATTTACACTTTCACTAGCAGGGTATGAGAACTCTGGCAGTTCCACATCCTTGCCAACTTTGACATTTTTTTACCTTTTTCATTTTAGCCATCTGGTGGGTGTGTAATAGTATCACTAAGATACTCTAAAGATGTGTTGTATTCATTATACTTCGTTTCCTTCCAAAAAGGAATGAAGGTAGTTTATAATAAAAATCCCGACTAGACCATTTTAGAAACCATTTTAAAGGATTCTTCAAAGGTAAAACAGTAAAGAAAGAGGGTAATTATATCAGCAACCCATGCCAGGATGTTAGTAATTACTACAATTCAGCATAAAACATCTTTCGGAGATTTGTAGCAGCTAATACCAAAAGAGAAATGTGAGGAGCTATACAGCTTTCATTCCCTAATAAAAGGAGTTAAAACAAATGGTCAAAGGAATTCTGTTTGAAGGTTCAGATGAGAGCTCACAGCATAATGGATATTGCCTTCAACAGCACTTTTATAAAAGATATAGAAACACTTTGCAAAAGATTCTCTAATTGCTTAATGCATCTCTAGACAAGCTGTAGGCATAATGTGAATTTGGGACTCTCTCAGGTAGCTCTGAACTTCTCGGAGTGAACGGCTGGACTGTATCTTAGACTTCCTCTTTCAAATATCAGTTGCTTTTTTTAAAAACAAATAATTTTCCCTCCTGATTATAAATATAATTAATAAAAGCTCATTATTAAAAATAGAGGGGAGGGCTTCCCTGGTGGCGCAGTGGTTGAGAGTCCGCCTGCCGATGCAGGGGACGCGGGTTCGTGCCCCGGTCCAGGAAGATCCCACATGCCGCGGAGCGGCTGGGCCCGTGAGCCATGGCCGCTGAGCCTGCGCATCCGGAGCCTGTGCTCCGCAACGGGAGAGGCCACAACAGTGAGAGGCCCGCGTACC